CACGATGCATTTCCATGCTTGCGTGTGTGCTTGTCTGTGCATTCGTGCGCCCATGCGATGTCATGGTGGCTATACACACCTCCACAAAAGAAGGCAGTACAGGCAAACCTTCAACCCAGCGGGCCTTTGTACTCCACTGAGGCAAGGGTGCCGCCCTGCAACGGGCCAATGCCCGACAGGTAAGGGCATTTCTTACCCCACGGGCATGGACAACCCTCTCTTCTCACTGGGCACAGCAATCCAGGTCGTTTGCGGTCCTACTGGCCCGTCGGTTCAGATCGTCACGTGATCTTAAAGTGTCAAGGTCGAGCAACGATCTGAACCGTCAGGCCGGTAGGACCGCAGACAACCTAGATCCTCGCGCGATCTTAAAGTCTTAAGATCATGCGACGATCGAAATCGTCGGGCCGGGAGGACCATGTACAGCCTGGATTGCCCAATTCTCACGTTAGCAATTTCTATGTGTAGGGATGCTGTTGTGAATCTTGTGATTGTTCAATATAGGCTTGGTGTAAAGCTTTCTACCAATTGTCATCGGAAAGATTTTGTCTTCACGTCAATTTGTTTGAGTGCAGCTGCGCATGGAAAGAAGTTGAAGTTTGGCAAATTCCTAACACTTGTATTGGAGCTGGCAACGTCGGCCAAGTGATTGGATACTCCAAGCTGCCACATCAGAAATTGTTGATGCATCGGGCAGTGCAATGTCAACAATTACCCTCCACCTGTGGGCATCTACTCGATGTTGTACCTTGTTTAGCATGGTTTATCACAAGGATAATAACTGTGGAGGAAGAGAAGAGAACAATGAAGTTGAATCATACTTGCGGCGCATTAGTGAGGTGCGCTGCGCCGTGCGGCATGCGCGCGGTGACACCGCGCGCGCACGAGGTGTGCCGTGCGCGCAGCGCATGGGGACGCGCTACCACTGCAAGGTGCGCACTGTGCGCGATGCCTATTTACGGGGTGTGTGTGTGTGTGTGTGTGTGTGAGAGAGAGAGAGAGAGAGAGAGAAAGAGAGAGAGAGAGAGAGAGAGAAGAAACCGTGTGAGAGAGAGAAGAACCGTGTGCTGACACTATCGGACCGAAGAAACCGCCCTTATCAACGGGCAACATGAATCTGGAAGCGAGGCGACATGTACAAAGGACAAAAAATATGGCGGTGTATCTTTCCATGTTCTGGCGGAAGATTCATTCATACGTTGGGTGGTGGAGAGCGAAGGGCCGATGAATCAGGTAAGCACGTAACGTATCTCTGGAACCTTTGCGGAAGATTCATTCATACGTTGGGTGGTGGAGAGCGAAGGGCCGATGAATCAGGTAAGCACGTAATGTATCTCTGGAACCTTTCTTTTTTTTTTTTGGAGAATCTCTGAACAAATGAGACTGAATCCTCCGCTTGAACATGGAAAGATACATTGCCATATATGTCTTGTTGTGCATGTCGAGAGTAGTGCAGCGAGCCCGTTGGTAAACATTACCGTTGAGGTTCTGACAGGTTGGACGCGCCGGGCTTCACTCGTGCAAAGAGCTGTTCTTCCTTTACGTTTTTTTCCTTTTATTTAAAAAAAAAAAAAAATCCAGGAAAAACGGCTTCCAGTTCCGTCGTTTTCTACTTCAGAAGTAATACGAAGAGAACGTTTTGAGAGATCGCGACCCTCATCATGACTGAGTCTGGCCTGCAAGAACCCAACCATACAGACTACAATTACCGTTGAGGTTCTGACAGGTTGGACGTGCCGGGCGACACTCGTGCAAAGAAATTCTGATTTTCTCTGAGTACGGACGCCGCCCGGCCGGGCGGGGCCCAGGCAGGTCGCCCGGGCAAACCGGGCGGGCCAAAAAACAGCCTAGAATTATTTTTTATTTTTTTTTTGAGGGCAGGGTCGTACTGTGCTCGGCGAGAGGACCCCGAATCGGCAATAAAATTTTGGTTTGGGGGG